TCTTTACTAATCGGCATGTGCAAAAAGTCAAAATAAGGATAAGGTAACTAGCAGTACAAAGAATAAAAAAAAGGCTGAGCATCTTGTGTTTTGCGATTAAGATTAAGAGCATGTTGCTGAAGCTGGTAAGAGCTCGTTTGGAACGTAGGATTGGATAAGACTGGATATGATATAAATAATAGGATTAGATTGGGTGGGATAGGTTTAGACAATATAATAATATATCTTATATTTGTAGAGCTCGGTTTAGAAATAAAAATATATATTTATTGATAAAAATACCCTTATTTATAATATTAGTAATATTTTTCAACATTTAAGATTTTTGTTTAAATTACAAACTTTTTATTTATTGGTGTTCAAATTGCAAATTTGATCAAAGATACTCAATAATTAATTTATAATGATTAAAAACTAATGAAATTTATTTGATGGATTTGAAATTTTGAGTTGAATTCTATTAAAATTATATTTCTATCAAACTAAAAATTTTCTAGTTGGTTTATTAAAAAATTTTTGGATGGCAAAAAAATCAATATATATTTTCATTTTCTTTATTAAGAAAGTAAATACTAGTAATTATTCGAGTTTGAATGAAGTAATTTCATTTTTTATTCTTTTTTTTCTTTTCCCGTAAACCGAATAAGAACTCCCAATTTCATTTTGTCTTATGAAATATTTTCTTTTTCAATTTCTTCTCTTTTCTCAAAAATCAAACAAGAACCCAATATCATTCTTTTCTCTTTTTTTTCTAAGAAAGCGAACTAGTAAATCTTCTACCTATGAAACATTTTTGCTTTCATTTTTTTCTTTTCTTGAAAACCAAAAATGAACCCAAATTTGAAAAAATGCTTCAAGTTAAAACTGTTTTTTTGAAATAAAAAAGAAAAAAAAGAGGTTCATCTTCTTCAACAAATATGTAGTTGAACCAGATGTGGTTGTTGGCTGAAAAAAAAAAAAGAAAAAAAGACAGATGTAGTCGCAACCGACATGATTTTGCCTTCGTTGCAACTAGATCTATGAAGCCCATCCAGTGAATTTGCAAGGGCAGACCAAAAGAGGAGAGAGAAATCATTGGAGAGATAAGGGAGAGAGTCACCACTGAGAGAGGATGATCGGCCAAAAGAGAGAATGTCATTGGCCAATGAGGGGCGAATCGGCCAAGAAAGAGAATGTCACCAGTGAGAGGAGAATCTGAAAAGAGAAGGTTGCCGATGATTTGGGACGAGAGGAAGCAGCGAGAAGAAGGGTAGATTTAGGAAATTTAATCCAATCCCCCTTTATCCCATGGGTTTTATGGGATTAAATTTATTTAATTAATGAGCAACCGATTGAATAAAATGCTGGATAATGGTTATCGCATCCCACGGACTCTCCAAACATGAGATGAGGAGGGAGAGGACAAATTTTTTATCCAATCCTGCGCTTCATCCGGTGCTCCAAACACATCATTTTTTTATACTACTTATATTTTATAAATTTAAATATATATATATATATATTTTTTTTTCGCAAGTTTATGACCCTCATATCCAAGACTTTGATTATATCACTGTTTCTGAGTTTCTTTTGGCAGGTGTTGATGCTCATGATCTTATTGCTTATCAATTGCCCAAGGATATTTTAGACCAAATACTTGCTGTGCCAATCTCTTTTTCTTCTAATAGAGATGATACCTTGTCTTGGAAAGGAGGTCTAGATGGATCCTTTTCTCCTTCTCATGCGTACCTCATTGCTAGAAATCTCCCCCCTTCCACGAAAGATGATTGGAGGTGGATATGGAAGTCTCAAACTTTTCCAAAAATTCAAACTTTCATTTGGCTTCTTTCTCATGAGCGGCTGAAATGTTTCGAGTTCCTAAACAAATTGGGCATTACCCCCTCTGCTACTTGCCCAAGGTGTCATGCTGCTGTAGAATCAGTGGAACATCTCATTCGTGATTGTCCTGTATTTGTTTCCATCCTTGTTGACTTACTTCCGGGTACATTCACGCAAACACAACGTGATCTTGATTTTTCTGCTTGGCTAAAATATAATTGTAAGCGGAAGGACTCTAATGGGGTTCTTAATATCCCATGGGGAGTGATTTTTTGCTTTGCACTTTGGGGTATTTGGTTACATCGTAACCAAACCCTCTACAAGCCTCACGCTTATCCTGTTACTACTTTTAGAAGCCTTATTATTGAGAAAGCTGCTGAATTTTGGGCTTTACATCCCAATCATTCTCCCCACTATGGCCAAATTAGATATTTCAAATGGTCTAAACCTTCTCACCCATCTATCAAACTCAATACAGATGGCTCTGTTATTGGGAATGGTAAAGCAGCTGGTGGGGGTGTTTTTTAGAGATAGTAATGGTAATTGGATTCTTGGGTTTGTTAGAAGAATTGGAAGCACTGACAGTCTCTCAACAGAATTGTGGGCTTTGAGAGATGGTCTCAAACTTGCAATTGATTTCCAGTTCACTAATATTATTGTTGAGACTGATTCTTATATTGCTTCTCAACTTTTGGCTAAACCTCCTATTGCTACTCACCAGCTTAGCTCATTGCTTTTGGATTGCAGGGACCTCCTGCAATTTATTCCCCATGCAATTGTCAACCACACAGTTCGTGAAGCTAATATGGTTGCTGATCAATTGGCAAGAATGGGACATAATCTCCATCAGAATTTTGTTATTCTTTCTCAATGTCCCCGACATGTTAAACCATTTTGTGTTTTAGATATTATGGGGTTTGAAGTCCCCAGGACTCGATGCTGCACTGTTTTATTTCTGTTTAATGTTATCTTACCCTCTTTTACCAAAAAAAAAAAAATTTATATTTTTTAAAAAGTTTTAAATTTTTACTTTTTATAAATTTTTATTTACTTTTTATAAATTTTTTAATTTACTTTTTACTTTACTTTTTATTATTTCTAAATATAATTTTAAAATTTTTTTTAATAAAAATTTAAATTTATAATTCATAAACAATACTAAAATAATAAAAACCCTAAGAAACTCCACCAAACATATCCTATATCCTAAATGAAAGAACAGCTTCTATTATAAAAACCTTCTCACACAATCATTTTAGTTAAATAGTTTAATATTATTTAAAAGCCTTATAAGTATTGTTTTAAGTACTTAAGAGTTTAAAAATATAAATTAAAAACTTTAAATTCTAACTTTATAATATTTATATTGTATAACATATAATTTAATATTTAAAAAAAAATTCTGAGAAATCTTAGGTAGAACAAGTGATTGCCCTCCACATAATACTTTTCATTGAGTTTTATTTCAAATTCTCTCCAGCCCAAAAGCCCCCAACATATAACCCTGTTAAAAAAAAATCTAAACGGGCACAACACTTTACACTTTTTTGAAAAAATGTTTATACCCATCATCTGTATTGTGACCATAAAAAATCCACTCTCTTTTTGAACAGGGCCAGTTGTTTGGGAGTTGGGGAGAGACATGTTGGTTAAGCTAAGAAAGTTAAACTTAGCCTAACCATTCGATCACTGATAAGGTGGGTGACCAACTGTTATTTTTTTTTTTGTGGGTAACGTGCTCAGTTAGTTTCCGCCAATTTCAAACTGGTGTCAGATTTCAGGACAAAACCCCACAAGTTACCCTTCAATTTTTTGAGTATGTAAAACTTTATTTTTCATTTTATAATATGTAATTTTATATTTTTTTGATATAATTTTATATTTTTTTAGTGTTTGAGTATGTAGAACTTTACCTCTTACCTTACAACTTTAAAAGGATATAATATTATAAATTTAAATATCAAGTGAGTATAAAATCATAAACCCGAATAAAAGGAGAGTATAAAATTATATATTGTAAGGTAAAGGGTAAAGTTTTATATACCCAAAAAGCTGAAGGGCAATATGTGGGTTTTTGCCCAAATTCCAGATTTGAAAGATCCCAATTTCCAAAATATTTTATGCATAACAGACAAAAACAGAAAAAAAATAATATTTTATCAACAAAAAAAACTACCTACTATTTTAAAAAGCAACGACCCTCCCCACGCCGGTGTCCTGTCTCCTGAGCGCACTCACTCGGCCCGCTTTTTTTTCTCTCCCTTTATCTTCTTCTATGCTTTTTGTTTGCACCTTTTCCCTCCTCCGTTGAAGGCCGAAAACCCTAGCAATTTCTCCGATCGACAGTTTCCGGTGACGCTGTTTGCTTCGTCAGATCTAAAGCACTGTGCATTTGAGTAAGATTCTTATTCTCTTCCGCTTTTGCTTTCCTGCATTCTCCTTTTTTTCTTTTCTTTTTCTTTTTCTGAGCTCTACTTTGTCTCCCTGTAAATGTCAGCTTCACTTGGAAGTTTAGATCGAGCTTAGCCTTATGGATTTGGGCTGAAACAACCTCCATTTCGAGTTGGATCCGAGTATGGTTTTCTTCCTCTATGGAATGTTGAAGCCTTTGGTATTTTGCGGTCTTGAGCTAGTAAATCGTTTCTTTCATTGTTGAATTTTTCTTGTTCTTTTGTGTAATGTAGTTCTTTGTTGCGTGTTTGGTAGCTGAGGAAGTGAGGGAAGGTAAATGAAATTGGTTTTAAGAGAGAAAGAGACAGCTTAACTTACACAGATGGTTGCATTTATGAGAAGTAATGGAGATTAAAGTCAATCTCCTTTCTTGATTTATTTTCCTTTTTTAACCATGTATTGTCAGGTCACCAACAGGAGTTCTATCACCTATAACATTGTAAGGAAAACCTAAAAAGAAATTGGAATGTCATACTTTTAAGTGGTTTGTGTTTGAAGCAACGGAAAGTTTAATTCATTCTGTTTATAAGGCTGGAATTTACATAATGAATAAGAATTTGTGTAAGTTTTGAGCTTCCTATTGATTTTTTTACATTTTTAGCTGAGGAATGGTGCATTGACAAAAGATTTACTTAAATTGGTCTATAATTGCTGTGATGTGGTTGAATTGAACAAGCTTTATTTAATTAATTATTTTTTTGGGTAGGTCTAGTGCTCTAACCAAAAATGGAGGACACTGTAGTGCAGTCCGGCAAAGAGATGCAGGAAAACCCCCAAGATGTAGAGAATGGGGCCACTGCAGAACATGCTGAAAATGTAAAGAAGGTTACAAAGTCTGTGAATCCTGGTGTAGCAGGGGCATCAAAGGTCTCGGGACCAACTAATTCTAGAAAGATTGATTCCAAAAGCAGTTCTGTATTAAATTCAGGTTTTGCAAGATCGACTATTTCTTCCTCTTTGAGAACTTCAAATTCAGTTCCGGAGACAAGACGAAACAGTACGGGGGGATTGCCTGAGAAGTTGTCAGTCTCTACCACGAAACAGCAAAATACCACTAGTACAGTTGCAGGCAAGAAAGCTACTACTTCCTTTGCTTCTGAACCAGTTAGGCGGTCTCTACCAGAGCTTAGGAGAAGTTCACTACCTTCAGTTGCAACAAAACCAACTTCTCGTTCTACCCTGTCAGAGACCAGGAAGTCGGTTCCAGTGTCACCAGCGAGTCGAAGTTTGAGCACATCAACTGCATCTGACTCAAGTGTCCTAAAGACTGCTAGGAAATCAACCATAAAGCCAGCATTATCGGTATCTCCATCTTTGAAAAAAGTTGCTTCTTCCTCAGTGGATAGTACTAGAAGTACTGCAAGTATAAAGACTGCTTCAAAGATTTCATCCCCATCTGCTCGATCACCTACTGTATCCAGTAGTTTAAGAGCTGGGTCTTTGTCATTATCTCTTGATAGGAGTTCTAATTTATCTGGACGTAGGAGATTGGCGACCCCAGAAAGTCGAGATTCACGATTTGTTGTTCTTCCACAAGTTGAGATCAAAGCTGGTGATAATGTGGTAAGAAACATTGTATCAGATCTTCCATCTGAAATTATATTTTTTATGCTATGAAAGTATATTATGTTCTTCTTGAAACTATGGAAACACCTAGTCTGCTTTATAGGGATTGATTTTAAAGGTGTCAGAAAGATGATGCTAATTTATAATCCATCATTTGTCTCTTATGTTTCAGTTCTGTGGGTTTCTATAGTATTCATGTAAGCACACAGCTCATGCATTTTATTTTTTATTTTTTATTTGAGCATTATCTCATAGCATTCCAGTTGATGGGCAAGTTCACACGTTTAACTAGCCATCATTCTTGTTACTTTACATGATTACATCTAAGTTGTAAGTCTAGTTCTCTACCTCAGTTTATCGTCACAATGATGTACTATTACATTTTTGTTACTTATGAAGATATTAAATAGTGGTAGTCAGTTATAGCAAAGGATTCAGGATGAAATGACAGTGAATGTAAATGCAGAGATAACAGTCTTGTGCATCCATTATTGAAATTGTTGTTATCTTGCCCCAGTGTTGTTCTCACTGTTGGTTGTGTCCTGAGTTTGTTTAATCTTGATTTCTTTTGTTATGGTTTTCGGTTCAAGTCTTCATTTAATTACATATTCTCCTCGTTAAGCTCCTACTCTTTGTTTAAGTCTGTTTTTTCATTGCATCAGAGGTTGGATCTTAGGGGTCACAGGGTTCGTTCCCTTAAGGATAGCGGGTTGAACTTGTCACCAAATCTAGAGGTAAACTTAACCTGTATCAGAGATACTAGTACTACTCTATATTGCTTATTTGAGAACTTGGCTACTTGTGTAAGTTTTCTTAGTGGCTAAGGATACTTTTTCTTTTTTTTTGTTTTCCTATTATATGGCACAATAGTGTTACATGCGTGGCTTCCATGTTTGAGTTTCTGTGTTTAGTACTCTTTGGCTCTCTCTTTGGCAGTTTGTGTATCTTAGAGACAATCTCCTGTCAACACTGGAAGGAGTTCATATCTTAATGCGAGTGAAGGTAGTACATGATTTTGCTTTTTTGTCATTCATTATCCTTGTTGACATTCTTCTTTTTCCACAAGTTTTAGATTTCTATATTGAAATTTGAAAAGCTGCAAGTTCCTAAAGTTACAGGATCACCTAATTTCTTAAGGAGCCAATACTTTTTATAAGAACCTTCACAATTGATTGTGCGGTCTAATCTCTTTCCAGGTTCTTGATTTGAGCTTTAATGAATTTAAAGGGCCTGGATTTGAACCTCTTGAGAATTGTAAAGCTCTACAGGTATTTATTGTGTGTACTAATTTCTCAAATGCTATGAGTATAGTATGTTCAATTCCTTATTGCAGCATGGTCTTGAAATGTTTATTACATGTGTAGCAACTCTATCTTGCTGGGAATCAAATTACCTCTCTTGCAAGCCTACCTCAGCTTCCTAACTTGGAGGTGAGCCTTGTAAACAGTAGTTTTTCTTAGTGATTTTATTTCATGCTTTTATATCGTATTATGGCTATCAATAGTTCTGAACATCTTTCTATTTTTTTCTTTTCTTTATTCTGTATCTCTTCTCTTTCCCCCTGTAGTTCCTCTCTGTTGCTCAAAACAAGCTGAAGTCTCTCTCAATGGCAAGTCAACCTCGACTACAGGTTTGTCTTTACTTTTGATTTTGCTAGGTTCTTATTCTTCAAATAATTAAATCAAATTTTCGAATTTGATTCATTTTCTTCCCAAAGGTATTAGCTGCAAGCAAAAACAAAATATCTACCTTGAAGGGCTTTCCATATCTGCCAGTCCTTGAGGTTAGTACTGCAACTTTGTTCTATAGACCAAGCAAGCCAAAGTGGTTGTTTCTTATTTGCATTTTTTGATTAACTTCTTTTTTTCTCCATACATCATTTCCTTCATACATTAGTTTTGTTCTCTCCCTCTCTTACACACATGCACACTTGGTTTACACCTAAAATCAGACATTTGTTCTTGCTCATGTTTTCTAATATTGATGCTGTATTGTAGCATTTGCGAGTGGAGGAGAATCCCATACTTAAAATGTCTCATCTAGAAGCAGCTTCCATTTTGCTTGTTGGCTCTACCTTAAAAAAGTTTAATGATAGAGGTAATGTGTTTCTTGGTGCATTACACTAACATTTCCGAGTTAATTTAATGTGTTTTGTTGTTATTACTATCATTATTATCATCTACAAACTACCATACATCAGTTAATTTAAAATGTTCTGTTGTTATTACTCTGACAGATCTTTCACGAGATGAGGTGGCACTAGCAAAGTGTTATCCTGCACAAACAGCTTTATGCATTAGGCAGGGTTTTGAGTTATGCCGCCCAGAGCATGCAGCTGGTTTGAACTCACAATCTGTAGCTTTTTAATTAATCTCAAATTATATCCAGCTCTATTGATAATTGTGCATAAAATTCATGGGTTGTGATCCTCATTCCTGAAGAGTTTATATATTTGTGTTCATGGTTTTATTTACAGACAAAACATTTCGCTTCCTATTTGATCAATGGAAGAATAATTTCCCTCCGGGTTATCTGCTTAAAGAAGCTTCCATTGATAAACCTTTTGAAGAGGATACTTGCCATTGCCACTTTGTTTTTATCCAGGAGAGCACCTTGAGTACTGATTCAGAATTGGTCTTAAAGTATCAATGGTTTCTGGGAGAGAAAATGCTTTCAAATTTCACTGCTATTCCTGATGCCACTGGGGAGGTAAGTAATTTTTTGAAGATTGTTTCATTTACATGTTGATGAATCCTTCTATCTTATATTGTACAATGACACCATCCATTTCTAGGTTTATTGGCCCAAGCATGGAGAAATAGGTAAAATTCTGAAAGTGGAATGTACTCCAGTTGTGGGAGAAATTGAGTATCCTCCTGTTTTTGCCATATCTTCACCAGTTTCACGAGGTATGCTTCAATTTTGTTTTTATTTTATTTTATTTTATTTTTTGTGTGTAACATTGGTCTAGTCAAAGGCAGCCCATCCAGACCAGGGTTGGGGGATTTGCGGGGAACTGCCTCCTCGTAGCCTCCCCAAGTATTGAACCTTGGTCACGAGGTGGGGAACAAACCTCTTGTGAACCAAGCCTCAATCCATTGGGCATATAAAGGGTTCTTTCATCTTTGCTTTTATATATTTATCTTTCTCCTTATGTTAGTGATAGTTTTGAAACTTGTAGCTATTGGATCACATCAATTTAAGCAAATTGCTGTTTGATTACCTGTTTATTATATAATTATGAAAGAAACGTATGTAAAGACACTTGGAGGATGGTACATTTGGTATTGTTTGTAACTTTGTGTGTGTCCACGTACATGAACAGAAATAAAAAACTAGGGCTTCTGTTCACCTTCACATTTTCGACTTGCTATTTTTCCATTTCAAGCTTATTCTTTTCCTTGTGAAGGGAGTGGGATACCAAAAGTTGTGACCCTTGAAGTACATGGAGAACTAGTTGAAGGTAATGTAATCAAGGGTGAAGCTGAGGTTGCCTGGTGTGGTGGGATGCCTGGGAAAGGTGTTGCTAGGTAAGAATGCTTTTCTTAAAGTGGTTCAAGACATGTTCACTACCATATGTCCATATCTTATGTGGATTGGTTTGAAGATCTATATAATTAATTAAATTATTTTTTTTTCAGCTGGTTGAGGAGAAGGTGGAACAGCAGCCCAGTGGTGATTGTTGGAGCAGAGGATGAAGAGTATCAGTTGACCATAGATGACATTGATTCAAGTTTAGTTTTTATGTACACACCTGTCACAGAAGAAGGTGCTAAAGGGGAACCTCAATACAAGTATACAGATTTTGTGAAAGCAGGTTTGTAAAGAATAAAGTTTTTTGTGGAATTGTTGTCCTTCCTGCCTCGTTAATTTTCTTTTATCAATGTATATTCTGGTACAATAGTGTCAGAAATATTCTGGTTATGCAATTTCAATTCAAAATTTGTAAGTAAACTATAATGTTCAAACTGTGATTTTTCAGCTCCACCATCTATCAGTAATGTTCAAATTATTGGAGATATGGTGGAAGGCAATGCCATCAAAGGAGTTGGCAATTACTTTGGAGGAAGAGAGGGCCCAAGCAAGTTTAAGTGGTTACGTGAGAATAAGGACACTGGGTTAGTATTTATCACTTTTAAGAGTAAAAAATTGTCTCTTTTATGTTGCTGACAAATGGAAGGTTGAAGAGAATATAATTGAAGTCCAGAAAAAAGAGAATCAATTCCTTTTACAGATCATTGTATATTTGGGTCCTCTTATTTCGTCTTTTGCATTTCAACCCCTTGTTTTCTTCCTTTTGGACCCTGTTTTACATAACTATTTTCTTAAGAATTCATTTGCTTATTTTATACACTATCTTCATTTCATGAACATTCAGACTTAGTTTTGCAGTTTGTTTCAGTATCACCTTATTTAGTTGTGTTCTCTGTATGCTTTATTGGTTTTCTTGACAGGGACTTTGTATTAGTGTCTGCTGGTACAGCTGAGTATGTTTTGACCAAAGAAGATGTCGGGCGACGTTTGGCTTTTGTATACATTCCCATAAACTTTGAGGGTTTGTTCAAATTCCTCTTGTTGGTTAGAAGTTTATTTACTTGGTCACCATATAGCTAATTCCATACAATCTTTTAAGTTAATGGTATTCGTATACTTCAGGACAGGAGGGTGAATCTGTGTCAACAGTCTCTGGTACAGTAAAGCAAGGTAATTCATTTGTGTTTTCATCTACAGACTTCTGGTTGTGTTTTCCTCTTCTTCTTCTTTTTTTTTTTTCTTTGGTTCTCACGTTACTTATGGAAACCTATCATTTATACTTTCATTTTAAGCCGAATCTCTTAGGCTACATATTTTACTCCCAACTTGTCCATCATTTAAGCTATCTTATGCTTATGATGGTCTCACTTTGGTGAACAATATTAGCTATCATGAATACTATTTTGGTCCTTTTTTCTACTCTCGTTCAAAGTTCAAACAACAGTGTAACTTCATTATGCTCTATTCTTCTGAGGCTTGTTATTTTGCTCAAATTTCAGCCCCCCCTAAGGTTTCAAATGTGAAGATAATTGGTGATCTGAAGGAGAGCAGTAAAATTACTATAACTGGTATTGTCACTGGAGGAACTGAAGGTTCGAGCAGGGTCCAGTGGTTTAAGACAAAAGCTTCAACATTAGATGGTGAAATTGGTCTTGAAGCAATGAGTACATCCAAGGTTGCTAAGGTAGGGAATGGTCAGACACGATTTCACACATGCATCATATTTGCATATGCCTCTGGCCATTCATTAAATTATAAAACATAATTTTTTTATTTTTTTCCTGCTATTTCTAACTTGATCTTTGACCTCTTTGCAGGCATTCCGTATACCTTTAGGAGCTGTTGGGTATTATGTTGTTGCAAAATACACTCCTATGACTCCAGATGGTGAATCTGGTGAACCAGCATATGTTATTTCAGAAAGACCAGTTGAAAGTAAGTGAAACATTTTCTTTATTCATTTGCTGATTGAAAATTATCCTGGCATGTGGAATGGCTGAAAACCTCATGTATCAAAATCCTAGCATCATTTTCAACATGCAAATTTCAAAAAGTACTTCTCTTTCCATTCTCTCAACTCTTTTTTTGTCTTCCTAAACTGCAGTGGGCACTTTGCTAATTTGTGTATGTCTATATACTGTTAATCTTTGCAGCTCTCCCACCAAGCCTTAATTTCTTATCTATAACGGGTGATTACTCTGAAGATGGACTTCTGACAGCATCATATGGCTATATAGGGGGCCACGAGGGAAGAAGTATGTATAACTGGTACCTTCATGAGGTATATACTTCATGCTACACTGATACCGTATAATGTAATTTTTTAAATATAAACAAAATATTAAAATCTTACAATAGAGATGCTGTTATTTATTATTAATAGATATTTTATTTTTTATATTAATTTTATATTCATTGAGAATTTAGTGTATCATGTTCATTCAAGCAAATAAACTCATAAATACTTTTGAAAACTGGCAGATTGAAAGTGATGCTGGTATTCTGATACGTGAGGTTACGGGGCTTCTACAGTATCGTGTAACCAAAGATGCAATTGGTAAATTCATTTCCTTTCAGTGTACGCCAGTGCGTGATGATGGAACTGTAGGTGAGCCAAGAAGTTGCATGGGTCAGGAGCGCATTCGTCCTGGTAACCTTTTTATCTCTTATTTTGTAATTAATTTTCAAGGATACATTTTCATTCTTTCTAGCTTTTTCTTCCTTCATGTAAAATTTAAGGAATGTGGCAGCTGAGAGAAGTTTTTCAGTTAGTATTAATGAAAGTGTACTTGCATTCTAGCTCAGTTTCAAATAATTGATGGTATCAGCTTGCCTTGCAGTTTGGAATCTGTATTCCACATGCATGACATGTGCAACATAAGTATGCACTTCACCGTAAAATAATATGGATTCTAGATTTTGGATAGTATCTAGATTAGTTTTTATGCTTAAAGTTTGCTTCTTATACCAAATGATTGTTGATGATCAGGAAGTCCAAGATTGCTGTCTCTGCAAATAGTTGGCGAAGCTATGGAAGGAACTATACTACATGTTGAAAAAAACTATTGGGGCGGTGAAGAGGGACAATCAGTTTTTCGCTGGTTCCAGGTAATTATTCAACTCTGTTAAAATCCCTTCTATGATAGTCTGGATAACCAATGATTTAATTTGCTGTATCACTCATCCAATATTGCCCAATGAAACACTGCCTATCATAATCTTATTCATTCTACTTGTCCTTTTCATATGTTGATGGAGGATTTATTTGCTTTTGTTATGTCATTTGATTAACCAAGAATTTTATTCTGCAGACTGGTTCAGATGGCATGCAACATGAAATAAAAGATGCCATCAACTCCTCATACATGCTCTCAGTTGATGACATTGGTGTCTATATTTCAGTTTCATGTGAACCTGTTAGAAGGGATTGGGCTCGCGGTCCGATTGTTCTTTCTGAACAGATTGGACCTATCATTCCTGGTCTAGATTACTTTCCTGTCTTTCCAATTTTTTACTTTTTCAAGATTCTTTTGTTCCTTGTTTATTTTGCTAGTTCGCTAGATTTATCTCAATTAATCTTTTAAGTATTAAATGTTGGAAAATAGGCGTGATATGGAAATTAGTTTTGAAATGCAGGTCCCCCAACTTGTCAATCTTTGGAGTTTCTTGGATCAATGATGGAAGGTCAACGTTTAAGCTTCATTGCTTCATATAGTGGAGGGTAATGCTTTCTGAACTGATGTTAACCTTGGCAAGGGCTGAAACTTCTGTCCTACTCTTTGGTAAGCATATAATGTCAAATTGAATTTCTTGTTTTTGATTCAGGGAGAGAGGAGACTGTGTTCATGAATGGTTTAGAGTGAAGAAGAATGGGATGAAGGAGAAACTCAGTACTGATGGTAAGGTCTAAGAAATACTAGATCTACTTGTTCTCAATATATGAAGTAAAAGTCTGAAGTCTGAATTGAGTATTGCCTTTGCAGAGTTTGTAGATTTAACCCTTGATGATGTGGGAAAGAATGTTGAACTTGTTTTCACTCCCATTCGCAAAGATGGCATGAAAGGAAATCCCAGGAGTATAATATCTGACCTGATTTCTCCTGGTGAGTTTTTCACTATTATGAAATTTGAGACACAGGTTACCAAAAAAATAAAAAATTGGTATATAATTGTAAAAGCATTAATTGATGTTTCTATAATTTCCTGTTTGATCATATGACCATTGTAATGTAGGATGTTGCTATTACTTTTACCCTTCTAATAAAACTATAAGGTTGCTAATGGTGAGAATGGTGCATTATTAGAGAAACTTTGCTGTTGTCTCCTATAATATAAAGTTTATACTGTGGAATTTGCTACTGTGTTCCTTTCTCCATCTTCAGAGTTCCTAATATAAATCATTTCCATGCACTCCTTAACCACGTTAATGTTACTTTATGAATGAAAAATGATATTAAGTCTTAAGTGGACTTTAAACAAGTTTACATGATTGGAGCTGTTATGGTAGTTAGTGAATGCAGTTACTTGGCCTTTTACTTCTATTGTTTGAAGAATTGGTTACGGTTGGATTGAGTAAGCCTGTCAGGATATCAGAGCAGTGCTGCAGTCTTAATGAGAAAGAGAAAATTAAAAAAAAAATGGATATATTCCACATAAGTAGAGTGGTCTGAAGAAGGTGCTGCATGGGAGAAGTGCATAGGCGACTTAATGGTGGCAAACGGGCAAGTGATCTTGCATGCCAATTTTCTATCCAAATTATCCTATTCCCAACTAATGCAATTATATGTGTATTTCAAAACAATCAAAGTTCATACGCTTAATTTTGAATTTGGTGAAAGTCCATGTCCTTATTTTTGGGTTTTGCCTTTAGTTTTTATATTCTTCTGGGATGATTTAGTTGAGAAGCATATGTGAACTTCTCTAATAATTGCTTTTGTTTGCTTAAATATTTCTGTGTGACATGATTGTTTTTTCTCTTTCCAATCGTTCTTGCATCAGCGGACCCAGTAGGACTGGATCTTGTAGTTCCTGATTGCTATGAGAATCAAGAGGCTGTTCCACAGAAAAAGTATTTTGGTGGACAGGAAGGTCTTGGGGAATATACTTGGTACAGAGCCAAGACAAAGCTACATGGATCTGCATTGATGGATATAGCTAGTTCTTCTGAGGATGTTCTCATGTGTGGTAAAACACTGTAAGTTTTCTAATGTGGTGTGGTGGGTTCAAAGATAGAATCTCATCCTTCATGTGTGAAAAGAATATAATAGAAATCTGCAATTTTTACAGCACATACACACCATCTCTTGAAGATGTAGGTGCTTATTTAGCGCTACATTGGCTGCCCACTCGTGTGGATGGTAGATATGGCAAGCCATTAGTTGCAATTTCCAACTCACAAGTTTCCCCAGGTATGGATAGTAATATGTGCTACCATCAGTAATTTCCTCTTTGGAATTGTTGTTCTATTAATGCATGCATGTTGAACCCCATAACAGCTCCACCAGTGGTTTCTAATGTTCACGTCGAAAAGCTGGATTTGGGAATATATTCTGGTGAAGGAGAATATTTTGGTGGATATGAGGGATCAAGCCTCTTCAGTTGGTATAGAGAAACTAATGAGGGAAAAATCATTCTAATCAAAGGAGCTAACTCTAAAACCTATGAAGCCTCTGATTCAGATTACAATTGCTGCTTGTTGTTCGGGTAATTGTTCCATCCTTCTCTTTCTAGTTTGAGGCTAAATGGTTTCATCTAGAAAACTATGGTCTGTTGCCAATCACATTAGATGCCAATAACTACTTCCTTCCCCCCCCTTCCTTTTTTTTTTTTTCTGTTTTCCCATTCAGAATTTATTGCAAACTTTTGTCTGTTAATTTCTGCTGTACTCAGCTAATAGACAGATGTTCAGAACTCAGGATAATTTTTTATGTACAGAATTGGCAATGAAAATGAAACCTAATGAAACTTAAGAACAGTCTTTCAGGATTCTGGATGGTAGGTGACATGAATAACCTGTCAATGCGCATCTAAAGTGTCAAATTGCACATTATGTAGTTACTCAGCTGCCCTGGTTAACCCTAAAGTTAAGCTGGATAACCTAGCCCCTTATTGTTAAAAAGTTTTACACATTCAATTGGATTGTCCTCAATATATCTAAAATAAGAGCAATCTTTGGAAGGGATGTAAAAATATACCAGGCTAAAGTCTATGATCCAGAAAATTTATAGAAAAATAACCATGTAAATTCAAATGTCTATATAGAGATACTGGTTTATGTCAGGGAAGTTGATCATTGCAGGATTTTTTGTATTTATTAAAGTGGTTTGGTGCAATAGGAATTTAAACTTTTTGGATTAGTGTTGTATATAGCAATATAGGTCAAAGTCACTTGAAATTTGATTGCTTATCCTTTTTTATTGTCTCTTACTATTTTCAGTTTGTCCAACTATTTCTCACAGGTATACACCAGTTCGTTCAGATTCAGTTGTAGGAGAGCTTAGGTTGTCTGAGCCAACTGACATTGTTCTACCAGGTAATCCATGAGATAGCAATTGCTTTCTAACATTCAAAATGTTGACTCCCATTCTTAATGCTTGCACAAATTACATGGGCTAATTATGTGGATGCCAAGTCATGCTCATTCTTGTTGATATTTCAAAGTCACGTTTCTTACAGAATGTGAAGGGGAAATTTAAAGTTACAAAAGACTGTCTGTCAGTGGTTTCAGGAGATGTAACACCCTGATGAGAAGATTTAAAACATATTTTTCTTTCCATTTCAGCATTTTCTCTTTTTATAGAGTCTCTGACATGCAGCCCTCAAGTTCCTTTATGTGGACTTTTGAGCTTGTTTATCAACTCTTGAACTTGAAGTAACAAGTTATAACTAAGAACACTTACTAAAGAAATTATGGATACCCTCCACAACTTTACTTGTATAATTTGATAATCACTATTTTCCATCATCCTTCAGAGCTTCCAAGGATAGATATGCTTGCTGTCACTGGAAAGGCAGTAGAAGGCGAGGTACTCACTGCAGTTGAAGTGATTCCAAAGAGTGAAACTCAGCAATGTGTTTGGAACAAGTACAAGAAAGATGTCCGCTATCAATGGTATTCTCTGCCTTATCCTACTTGATTGTATGTTTCTTTTTAGCTTTTCCTGCAATTGCTGTTCCTTAGTACATAATTCAGGTGCTACGGTAGCTATATTGTTATCATATACATATATACAGTTTGTACTGACAATCATGGGCATGTGAGTTTTGTTCATAGATATTTGAGGTAGTTGTTTGATCCTTTATATTCTTTTAGCAATGTTGGAAGTTGTCCGATTTTTGGAAGTTAATGCTTATTTGTCACACTTTATCCTCTGAAATGTTATTTCCTTTTGTTCCTTATATGTGACATAATGGATGATGTAGGTTCTATTTGTTGGATGCTGGAGATGGGAAATCACTTGAGTCTTTGCCTGGTCAGCAGTCCTGCTCTTACAAAGTTCGGTTTGAGGACATTGGCCAGTGCCTGAGATGTGAGTGTATTGTGTCTGATGTGTTTGGAAGGTTAAGTGAGCCAGGGTACGCTGAGACAGATCCCATATTGCCAGGTTATTTGAATTTCAAGTCCATTTACTAATAATCTGTTCTCAACAAATTTTCAAGAAGTAACAGTACCTTTACCTGTATTAGAAATCAATAAATAATCTATTGTTTTTCATCAGCTTTTTCATTGTTTAAATAGAAATTCCTATATTTCAGGATTTCCTAGAATTGATAAGCTGGAGATTGAGGGCAGGGGTTACCACACTAACTTATATGCTGTTCGTGGCAATTATACTGGAGGAAAGGAAGGAAAAAGTAAAATTCAATGGCTTAGATCAATGGTTGGAAGTCCTGATCTTATCTCCATACCAGGTATGCTAAACTCCCCCAGATCTCATGCCTCAGGTTTTCAGAAATGATCTTCTGCTCAAAAGATTATTTCTTCTTTACCTCATTGTAAAACCATAATTGGATTAACCAGGTTTCTGTTCATTTTTATATTCTACATGAAAGATCTATTGATATATTGCAGGAGAAACAGGAAGGATGTATGAAGCTAACGTTGATGATGTAGGCTACAGATTGGTGGCTATTTATACCCCAATAAGGGAGGATGGAACTGAGGGGAAACCTGTTTCTGCATCTACAGAGCTCATTGCAGTTGGTAATATTGAAGTCCATCTCTTGTTGTTTTTCTTAATAAAAATAAAAATAAAAATAAAAGATGCATGCTACTTTGTATCCATTAGTTTCTAACTGTAATGCATTGCATTAGAATCTTCATTTTCATCTTCCAGGCATATATCTTGTTTATTTTCACATTGTTTAAATTGCAGAGCCTGATGTTCATAAAGAAGTGAAGCAGAAGCTGGATCTTGGATCTGTAAAATTTGAGGTGGGAGTTATTATCTTTAGTTTCATCTTTCATGTTATACCTTTGCATCTTGCAAACCTTTGTTTAATACTTCAGGTTGTAGCACTTGTAAATTTTTATTTGGATTTCGAGGTATAATAATAACAAATAGAAAAGAAAAGGAACTTTCAGGGTTATGTAATAGTAACATCAGAAATTAGTTTTAAATAAATGTAAATTTTGTTGTTCATACACTGACTACTGCTTTGGTGACAGGTGTTGTGTGACAAGGATCGCAATCCAAAGAAGGTTCTTATTCCATATTTTCAATTTTCATCCTTAAATCTGTTTTGGTCTGTTCTGGTAAGGAAAATCATCCTTTTTTCACCATTATTCATTACTGTATTGCAGGTTCCAGGAGAAGGATGTCTTGAGAGAAGAATTCTGGAAGTCAATAGAAAAAGAGTCAAGGTTGTGAAGCCAGGTTCTAAAACTTCTTTCCCGACCACTGAACTTCGTGGAAGCTATGCTCCTCCATTCCATGTAAGTTTTTTGAATTTTTGTTTGTTTTTTTGTTTTGTTTTGTTTTTGTTTTTCTTTCAATAAAAATGCACAAATATGCAAGCTAAGGCTATTGCAAGATGTAGTAGTTTTTCATTCCCGCTTTAGTTTAGGCAACTTTATCATGCTAGCAGTCAAGCACTTTTATGCCTTGGATAGGTCTCGGTTCAAAACATATGGAACCTATCCTAGAAGTTTCAGGTTCTGGCAGTAGAACCTTCTCCCTACCCTGCAACTAATCACCTCAATTAGCGAGCACTTATTTTATTACTTCTTTATTCTTCTAAAGAACTAAAAGACCATGGCTGCAACAGGTGGAGACCTTCCGTAATGACCAAAGAAGGTTTAGGATTGTTGTGGACAACGAGAATGAAGTAGACTTGTTGGTGCATTCACGACATCTTAGAGATGTGATTGTCCTCGTAATTCGTGGTCTTGCTCAGAGATTCAATAGTACTTCTCTCAATTCTCTCCTCAAGATAGAAACATGAGTTTGGTCAAAACAATGCAACTGCCTTCACATTAAAATATACTATACGTAGGTTGTTAGCCATGTGCAATCTCTACTTGACACCAAGTTTTTTTTTCCTTAAATTCTTTCGTTATTTCCAACGTTGGCCTCGTTGTAGATGTTAGTGTCATTCTAATTACTTTTACGTGTAAGAAATGTTGTGTTCAGTGTCCAAACCATTTGAGAGGGGTTGCAAACTTCTGCTGCTGTATAATTATCTTGCCTAAATACTCCAATCTATTTGGAAAGATTCTTCTGCTGTTATTGAATCTTGCTTAATTGAAGTACGAAAAAGTTGCAGATTAAATTAAAAAAAAAAAAAAAGATGTCAACTGAGATACTCGAGAAAAACACCAACTGAAATTTTGTCCTTGTGAAACTCTTCTTATTTGAATGCAACTTTTTTGGTAAATAGTTTGAAAACTATTTGATTCCTAGGATTTCCCTGCCTCAAGAGTTGCCGGAGCAGATTTGTTGGTTTCTCTTTCAATCTCCTTAGCTGCATCATAGGAAGCATGCAGGGCAATAAAGATGTAGTATACCAGGAGGAGCAACGTCCAAATCCCGAACCTCTCGAAGGAGGCCCTGTCAATTGAACCCATCACCAACAGATTAAACGCAATACAGGCTGAGGGTAACCAGGGATTCAATGGAACTCCCCAGAGCTTAGGCTTCCTTGCTTCCTTCAGCGTCAATTGAAGTCCCAGTGTTGACAGGAACCAAACTGAAACTGTTATGGAGTAAGCAAACCATCCGGAGCTCACAGCCCAGTATGCAGCAGTAGCCATAGATGATCCCACAATTAGAGTTAGGAATGCGATCAGTTTGTTCCTATCGGAATCTGTGGTCTCTCCAGTGACATGGTAGCGTCGGACTATAAGGGCCAGGGCTACTAGTGAGAACAAGAACAGAGTGGCTATGGAAAGGAGGCTCGCCAGTACATCCAGGCTGGTGAAGAGAGCTACAATGGAGTTTAGAAGGGTCATGATGATTGTAGCATTCATCGGAGTTCCAGTCTTCTTATTGATGGCCGCCAGAAACGGGGGCGCCATGTGGGTCCGGCCAATGTGGGTGAAATATCGCCCTTGGGCTATTATGTTAGCCAGCAGAACTGCGGTCATGCCTTCCAGAGCACCAGTTGCGACGACGTACTTTGCCCAGTCCATGCCCACAGCTTTGAATGCCATGGTAAATGGTGCGTTGGTATCAATGTGGGTGTACGGCTGCATCAAGGCAAGAGTTGTAGAGAGAGCGGTGTAGAAGCCTATAATGATCATCATGGATCCGATCAATCCTATCGGAATATCCCGACCCGGATTCTTGATCTCCTCTCCGAGGGTGGCCACTCCGTCAAACCCCACATAAGCGAAGAACAAGATCGAGGAAGCTTTCAGCATGCCCCGGATACCATGGGGAGCAAAGTGTTCGACTAAATACTTTGGGTTTGCCTTGGTAAGACCGGTGATGAGGATGAAGATCAGAACAAAAATTTGGCTAATACTCGTGATAGAATTGAACCTCGACGACCCCTTAATACTCGCACTTGCTCCGATACAGATCAGGATCGAAATTCCGACGGCAATCGGGTCTAAATAGCTGCATGCTTCTGGGAAGGATGGTACATGGATGCGGAAGCTATCTGGATCATGGTTGCACAAGGTAGCAAAATACGAAGTCCATGACCTCGCCACACTGGCGCCGCCCACAACATACTCGAAAAGGATGTTTCCAGCGGCAATGTAAGCAATGAAGTCTCCAAGCTCCACCCTGAGATACGCAAATGACCCTCCGGAGACAGGCAATTCAACAGTAAATTCAGTGTAGCACAAAACAGAGAGTAAAGCTGAGACACCCGATATAACGTAGGAGATTACTACGGCGGGGCCGGCGTAGTTCCTCATAGCTTCCCCGGTGAGGACGAAGATACCGGAGCCCATGACTGATCCAACGCCGAACCAGATAATGTCCCACCAACTAAGGGTTTTCTTCATTTGGTGCTGGCTGCGTGCCCGCACCTGGTGCAGCTCGACTTCGTCCATGGACCGAGTCAGGAGACGGTCTTTGAGCCGTTGCCCAGTGTGGGACAATGCGTTGACATAGTTTCCCCAGCTACGGAAGGACTCCTCCGGTAGGAAATCATCCTTTGTAAATCTCCATATCCTCTTCCTCAATCCTTTGCCGCCATTTTCATTTGTAGCGGTTGTTCCCATTGTTAGTGTGCAACTGAAATTTTATACATAAAATGGTTGAGAACTTCATATTGAAACAATCCTCATAAAAACTAACCAATACTAACCCAAAATTATTCAGTAATCAATAAGGAAAAGAAAAAGACCAAGGAATAATTTTTTTATATAATTTTCTCATACAATTTTGAATATCATTCTTTTTATCTTATTAAAACTCATAATATTGTATATATTTTCTTATTTAATGATATAAGAAAAGTTGTAAACAAAAATTATATAATGAAAATACCAGCAGAATCATGATTGATGTTCTAGGTTTTCTTTTAATCTTAAGAGTGGGTTTTTAGTAAACGCACTCCCCCCGTTCCATTGATGTTCACAGGAAGTATATAATTTAGGAGTTGGGTCAGGTTTGCACAGAAGCTGATGGTTTGAGGGCCCTGAGCCCCTTATTGTTGTTTTTAATTTGAGTTGGGTTTGGGCCTAATTGACAATTAATTAAATCAAGCTTAATTTGGCATTGTTATGTTGTTCTTGTAGTCAACAGTTGTTGTTATTATTATCTAATATAGTAAAAAATATTAATTAAATTGAGTGAAAATATATAAAATATATTTAAAATTAAAAAAAAAAGTATTACTTAATTAAAATTAATTAAAAATAATAAATTCATATTTTTAAATAAGTTATTGTGTGAAAGAAAAATTTGTAAACAAATATCGTTAAATCAGTGAAAATTCGTAAAAGAAAAAAAAAAATTAAAACCCTTTGACATTTATCACCCGCACATAGAGACTATTAATCTGAGACTATGATCTAAAACAACAATTCGGAAGGGAGTAGAAAACGTACCCAGATTGAGTAGAGGAACAGATCGATGGAGGAAAAAATAATAAAAAAAAAGAAGCTTTCCGAAGGCTGCTGTGTAAACTTAGAACTTTGAAGGCTAAATATACAAAGTGAATACTAATTGGAAGTGCCCTTGTAATATATAAATCATCAGATCTTTGGTCTCTCTTCCTTCAGAAATGAATGAATTAAAATGTGCATTTAATTTCATTTAAGAAGAATTCAAATTGAAGGGTGGAAAGTCGGCGTACTGATGATAAGAGAATAAGAATTATTTCCGAATATTATCATTAGTATATTTTCACCGCTCCTTTCATTAATAATATCTCCTATGTCCATGAATAATTGGCATTATTGTAGAACTTCGTCAACTATTGACATTATTGAAGAACTTGGCATCCGATTTCCGCGGCCATAGAATTCTCTGAACTAATTCTGGCATTCTTTTGTCTAACAAGCAACTTTATTCCTTTGTCATAGTCAATGAATTGAATGGTTCCATAGCGGGAAAATCAATCAATTTATCAGACTGCGAGGTGGGAAATATCGAAATGAGAGAATTAATGCTATAAATTATATATACGGGAGAAAAGACAAGGCGATTGTGAAATCTTGAAGGAAGGATTTCACAATTTTTTCAAAAGGGACATTCATTCTTCAATTGAGACATTCACAATGAGGAACCTGAACCCGCAAGCAGCTCTTTCACACATAACAAGTAGACAATTTTCAACTTCTTCCTTTAATTACTAAAATACAACACTGTTATATAAAAATGTAGAAAAATAAATTGGGAGAAGGTAGACACGCACGGATCTCATGATATGGCTTTGCTTTAAATTCTAGAATTTGTGGTGCCTTTACCTTCCTCAGCTTTCCTGTATCCGTCTGCAGCCCGATTCTCCCCATACTCCTTGGCTGTGTCATAAGACGCGTGCAATCCAATAAAGAAGTAGTAAATCAACAGGATACCAGTCCAAACGGAAAACCTTATAAAGGATGCACGATCTATGGACCCCAGAAGGAAGATGTTGATGGCAATGGAAAGTGATGGCAACCAAGGGACCAATGGAACGCCCCATAATTTTGGAGTCCTAGCTTGTGGAACAAGAACGTGAAGTGCCAAGGTAGCCAAAAACCAAACTGGCGCTGTAACTACATATGCAGTCCAGTGTGTACTTACTGCCCAGTAAGTAGCTGTGGCCCCAGAAGACCCAAGAATGAACACAAGGCAGATAATAAGTTTGTTTCTGTCTGTTGGTGTTGTCACCCCACTGACATAATATCGGCGAACAAGTAGAGCAACAGCGACAAGCATGAAGATGAACAATGTCGCTATTGAGAGAAGATTGGAGAGAATTTCAAGCTTGGTAAAGAAGGCAATGATTGCCGTGGCAGCGAGCATGACAATGGTGGCATTGACTGGGGTCCCAGTCTTTGGATGGACTTGTGCCAACCACGGTGGCATCATGTGGGTACGAGCAATATGAGTCAGATATCTGGCTTGACCCACCGCATTGACAAGCAAAACCGTGGTCATGCCTTTCAATGCTCCAGCAGCAACAATATACTTAGCCCAATTCCACCCCACTTTTTCAAAGGCCACGGAGAATGGAGCGTCGATATCAATCTGCTTGTATGGTTGCATTAGGCATAATACAATGGCAAGCAGACAGTATGCAGCAGTGGTAATCGTCATTGAGCCAATAAGACCAATAGGAATATCTCGAGCAGGGTTTTTAGTCTCTTCAGCCATTGTGGAGACAGCATCAAAACCGACATATGCAAAGAAAAGCACAGCTGAGGCCTTGAAAATACCACGAACGCCAAAGGGAGCAAAAGGGGTGTAGTTTTGGGGGTGAGCTTTTACAAAGCCAGCAATGATGATGAAGAGAATAACAAGAACGTGGAAGATGGAGGCAATATAATTGAAACGCGATGAGCCCTTGGTGCTGAGGACAGCGAGGATGCAAATGATGGTAATGACAACAATGGCAACGGGGTCAAGGTGGCGATAATCATCAGGAAGGCTGCTTACATTGATGCGGAAATCATTAGGTTCGTGGTTGCAGAGGGTGGCAAAGTAGGAAGTCCAAGATCGAGCTACAGCAGCACCACCAATGACATACTCCAGGAGAATGTTGCCAGCAGCAATGAAGGCCATGAAATCGCCTAACTCCACTCTAAGGTATGCAAATGACCCACCTGTAGAAAAACCAAATTAATTTGAATCGTGCATTAACATTTCATCAAGATATCTATCAAAAGCACAGTTAGAATTATCTCCAATTAATTGTCCTTACAGTAGTTTTGGTGAAAGCAAATTAACCTGACAATTGTAACATACTTTTTCTGTTGGTGTTCAGATACGTGTATCTCAAAATTTGAACAATAAATTTTTAATTTAATTAAAAGTCTAATACTCAAATTAATAGGCATGGAAATCAAGAAATGGGATTTTTTTTTTAACAGTATTAAAATGGGGAAATGGGATATTTTTATATCCTAAGTTCTAAACAAATGGACGATATATATAACATGGGAAAGATGCAGTCATCGTATCATGGTAAAAACTGCTGAAGAAACAATGAGTTCATCATTTAGTCCCAACCCAACATCCAACTCAAATTGGTAGTGGAAACATGCACTTTCTTAATACAACACCTCCATGAACAATCAATCCTAGCAACTTTAGTTTCAATGCAGACATTTGCTTGAAAAATGTGTTAGAGATTTAACTAACAAATCTTAATTTAATTGCTTTAAATATCAAGGTGTAATTATTGTTACGCATAAAAGTGTTGAAATTACACACAATTTTAATATTTGTCTTTAAAATATTAATTTTGTTTCATTTAATTATTAAAACCAATTAATAATCATACTTATTACTTACTTATTAAAAAAATAATTAATATTTATTAATTAACAAATTAAAATCAATCAATAAATTAAAATATTTAAATTCCAATTTAAGAAAAAAAAATATGTTTATGTCACCTTTACAATTTTTCTGCGTAGCAATAGCCACGCCAATATTAAACTTTCTATCCTCGAGTAATTTATACTATGCAGCCATAATTAATTACGCAGTTACGCCAAAACTATGACTATGAGGTCAGTAATTATTAAGTGCCATAATCTCGGACTCAAATTCGTCAAAGTAAATGAAAAACCTTTCTGAATACGATACCGTCAGTAATCAATTGGTAAAATATCCAAATGCAAACGTTGCTTGAAAATATATCATACATATTTGCCAATCTATAAAGACTCTGAAATGTCAGAAGCATATTTTATCTAGTAGTTTATTATACGAAAATATACTATACATTACCGGTGGTCTTATAAGATTACAATTAAGATGTATCATAATTAATTTTTTTTTATTTGGAGTTTGTACATAAATTGATATATATTAAGTAGTCTTTTAATATGAAAATTCTTAGTAACGTTGTAATTATACTTTCTCTATTTTATGGATTTTTTTAATTTATATTTTTAGAACATAAATTAAAAGTATGTTTATTATATTTTTTTAATTATTAATTTATATAAAAAATTATAAAAATAATAATTATTTTCAATACTAATACTATATAAAATGATTTAATTAAACGGTCAATAAAAGTAAAATCAATTTTTTTATATAAATTAATGATAAAAATATGCTATAAATATACTCTAAAGCATAGGCTAAATTTTATTTATTTATTTATATGTCTTTAATTAACTTTATATCGAACTTTAAATAATATTTTCAAAGTTTCTTAGTCTTTATAATTTACATTACAAATCAGAGTTACACAACGGCCTTTTCATATTTTTATTATATAAATAATACTTAAAAAAATTTAATTCAATATACCGTTTTTGTTAAATAATTATATATATATATCTTAATAAGACAATCACCTATTATAATTATTACATATTTTTAACAGAAAAGTGAAGAAAGTGACATTGAATATCAAACACAATATACCTTAACAATATTTTTATTTATGAAATAAAATATTACCACTCGATTGATTATGTGAAGAACTTATTAAATAGTTTTATGAACCAATAAGGAAGACATATCATTTACACTTTAATAAAAAAATTAGCCCTATGATCATAATGACGGACCACTTTATCATAGAAGACTTTGAAATTTAAATGCATTACGTGGGTCCCATGCGCCGACGTACATATGCGAAAAGTCAACATGTCAACTTTCCTACGAAACCATTCAGTAGGATCTATCCGAATGGGATGGTTGACAAAATATACTTTAAAAAAAAAAGAATTTATAGGTTAAGGATAATAATTTTTAATATGAATTAATTATAAAAAAATATATATATATTTTTAATATTTTTAATATATAAATAATTTTAATTAATTAATTAATTAAATTAAAATTGATATTTATATTTTTAATAAAATTAATTATAAAAAAATTATTTATTTCACCTTATCCTGTATTTGCCCATAATAGAAAAATAAAAAAAAAAAATTCCGTGGGATATTCACTGCACTTACCTGCAACAGGTATTTCCACGGCGAATTCGGTGTAACAGAAAACGGACAGCATGGCGGAGATACCGGAGACCACGTAGGACAGGACGACGGCAGGACCAGCCTCTTGACGAGCTTCGAGGCCAGTGAGGACAAAAATACCGGCGCCAATGACGGCACCAATACCAAACCACATCAGATCCCACCAAGACAGGTTCTTCTTCATCTCATGGTTGCTCCTGGCCTTGATCTCATGCAGCTCAATGTTATCCTGAGATCGAGTCAGGAGCCGGTCCATGAACCTGCTCGGAGTCTCACTCAGTGCTTTGGCATAATTTCCGAAGCTCTGGAAGGACTCCTCCGGTAGAAAATCATTTTTCGTGCATGAACATCCTCTCCGCCTTATCCCATCTCCGCTCTCTGCTTCAACGCCCACTGCCATCCTAATTTCCGTACACGTGAAAGGAATTTAAATTAGTCAATTTCAGAAAACAATTCTACTTAGTAAGAAGAGATCATATCTTCCAGAGTAATTCAATATAGTTCAGGACTGTAAAATATTTTTTCGATTCAAAAATTAAACAGCATACCTCTAAACTATTAAAACTCGCTCGATTCAGGAAGGAAGGAAGGAAAGAATGAACAGCTAAACCAGAGTGGAGACAGTTTTATAAAAAAAAATCAAATCAAGATTCTTCGGATCAAGATACCAAGACAGGAGGAGAGTTTTGCATTTCCCCCTTTTTTATAGAGAAAACCAAGGACGTGAAGATAAATTTTTGAAGTCAAAACCAAGAGTGTGAATATGAATAAAAGCCAGATCATCGACAATTTAAAAATTAAAATTGTTGAAACAATTACGCAACGTTAACGGAATTGAATTAAAAATTAATAGAAGAACAAATCATCAGCAGATTCCAGTTGAAACGTCTCTGTTTAATTTTCTAAATTACAACAACCAAATATATATACGGTATATACAGATCGATGAAAATCGTAGCAACTCAGTCGCATCAGTAACTTAAAAAGGAGCAACGAATCTAGTAGATTCCACATGGAAAAACAACTATTTTGCTTTCTAAAGAAACAAATCTGAAGATTCAAGCAAAAAATAGAGTTACAGACCTGATTTTCCCGAGATTCCGCCGGAGGAGGAGAATAAGAGATTAAGCCGGTGACCTCCGGAGAGTAGAAGGCGAAAACGAGAGCCGGCGACCGGTGGAGAAGAAAAATAAGTAATTAGTGAATGGTTAGGTAAGGGAATTCAATTGTAGGGCGTAAATTTATAATTAATTGGACGGCGCGGGATGTGTTTTGTTTTGTACAATGGAAGTGGAATAATCCTGATTTTACTGTTACAACTTGATTCCGCGTACAAAAGATCTTGGGCTTGTTATATTGGTATTAAAGTTCTAAAGTTGCTAAAATTCTCAAATAAGGTCCAATTAGACAAAGCCATTAGGTCTATTAAATCATTTATTAACATTGTTAAATCTAACAAGTTAAATAACAAAAATAGTCACTAAACATTCCATTTTAGCTTTCAATAATCTCAAAAAGCTCTTTAAAATAATATTTTCTATTGATATGGAAATTTTTGTGGGAACCATAATTAAAAATTAATTTTAATTATCTGAAATAATTTACTAATTATCCTTTAAATGATTCATTGAAAAGTTAATTAATCATTAACAAATTTTGAGTTTTTTTTGCCATAACAAAATTTTTGAGTGGGTCCCACATATTTGCATAATAAATTCATTTATATATATATATATATATATAAATCAAACAAAAAGTTGAGATCCACATACATGCGAGATTAATTTTTAGTTTTGGGTCCCATAAAAATTTTCTCATAAACAAAAAAAAAAAAAAAAAAAGTTTAACAGCTTTTTAAAGTTTTTGAAAGTTTTAGGGTTTTTAAAAGCTAAAATTGAAATTCTAAAGACCGTTTTTTTTTTTTTTGTTACTTAACTAATTAGATTTAACGGCCTTATGATTTAATGGATCTAACGATTTTTATCCCATTGGCACTTTATTTAAGAATTTTGACAACTTTAAGAACTTAATTAAGCACAATAAAACTTTAAAATCTTAATTACAAATTTAGTGTAGGTTTAGGCCTTTATATACCAATTTTAATCAGTAGTTTGAATCTAGATAGAATTTTTTTTTATGGCAGTATCTGGATAGATTTTTAGGACAAATGAAAAACTAAACCAACTAATTACACTTGTTATTGGCTGTAGCCTTATCTACTTATGCTAGGCAAAAACATGTGTTTAGTATATTGCCTTATTAAGTTAAAACTTTTAACCTCTCATTTTAAAATATAGAATTTTTAGCTTTAAACTTAAAAATTTAAAGATTTTAGCCTCAAAACCAATAGAATCCATTAACTTTTTTGTTGAAGTGAAAATAAAAAATTTATAAAACCAATATTCAAAAATTAAAACGTGACAGTTTAGTTTTAAAATTTTAAAAATAAAAAAAATAATAAAATAAAAAAAATTTAATGGATGATTTTGCCATGCACATAAAAATAATATTAGATATTTATAATCAAATTGAGCAATTAGCTATGATATAGGGGTTAAAATCTTTAAACTTTTAAATTTAAGTCCCAAAAACTCCATATTGTAAAATAAAAGGCTAAAAACTACAAACTTATTTTAATAAGGGACTAACACATGCTTTAGATATCATCCTAGACATGGTTATTGTCACACCGACATTTATTAAAAGAGTAGTAATACAAAGTGCAAAAATTTGAGACCAAAATTTA